TAGTTCTAATCCTGCAGATGGATCACCCAGAGCTCAGTATTACCATCGGGCCAAACAAAACAGCCAGAGCTATAAAAATGTGCAGTGAACAAATGTTTTAACATTTTGTAAGTCACTCTGGATAAGAGGGTCTAATGAGAGCCCTAAAGACTGGGACTACCAAGAGTAAAAGCCCTAAAAGTGGCGCTACCAAGAGTGAAAGCCCTAAAGACTGGTGCTACCATGAGTAAGAGCCCTAAAGACTGGCGCCACCAAGGATGTGAGCCCTAAAGACTGGTACTATCAAGAGTAAGAGCCCTAACTCTTGGTAGTGTCAGTCTTTAGGGCTCTTACTCTTGGCATTGCCAGTCTTTAGGACTTTCACACTTGATTGTGCCAGTCTATAAGGTCTTAATGTGGGTATTCTTTAGGGCTTTTACTCTTGGTAGCCCAAGTCTTTAGAACTCCATACACAGTGCTATGGAACTTGGTCAAACCAGACAAATGGTGGACATGATAATTGATTGTATTATGACTGTATAAAATTGAACCCAAATGAAGGAGTAAATGTAAGTGTTTGTTTCCTGCAGTGAAGTATATCCGGGAGGTGTCCCCCCTGTTTAAAAAGCCCTCCATGCTGGCTGAGCTGCCCTGGGATGGCCCCTGGTCTCCGTCTCCCAACTTCACCAACACTGAGGAGTCCCCAAAACATGGCGGCAGCAAAGACAGGAAGGTCATTCCTCTCAAAATGAGCTTCATCTGCAGAAACCTCACCATGCCTGACCTGGAGAGCAGGTAAGGGGGGGGCGCATTCAGCTACCAGGAGCCAAATAGTTGAATGACCTTGAGGGCTGATTACGTTAGTGCAGTATTTGTTCTTTGTGGCTGGAGATAAAGTCCCACAGTGGTGGAACGTGGTGCTTAGTTTGCTTTCACTGATTATCTTGAGTGGCACAGAGCATGTTTGCATAATTCATTTACTACAGTCTACAGCTATTTATCAGCTGTTTACAACCATGTTAACACGATTCCACTGATGCACCGTTACGTCTGTGGTAGTCAGTGTTCTGGAAACATATGAGTTTGATGTGTTTATTTAGCCCACACAGTGTGGGATTCAGGCTAGAAACAAACGGCCATTAAATAATTGTCTTATTTATGTAAAGAAATCAGAATCAGATGGTTGGTGCATCTCCAGCGTGTTTGAAGTACATCGTTTGAAATGGTCACTCAGAAATCAAGTGGTAAATTTGGTCTTCATTGATCTCATAAAGTGGTAGTTCAAATTTACACAACTTCTCCTCTGACCACAAATACAGTCGATCAGCCAAGACATATGTGAGGCTGACAAGGTGTGGAACCAATAATCCACCAATTAGCATCTTCAAGCCACATATAACCAAATATGGACTAAAGTATATTAGTGCATAGATAAAAACACTATCAGCCATCTTGAAGCCTCAGCTTTGTCTCTGCTTTAGTCCACTGTCAGCATCAGAAACCACACAGTCAAGTCTATCAGAGATCACTGAACAACTCCACACTTGGACATGCTAAGATAAGATAAGCCTTTATTAGTCCCACAGCAGGGAAATTCACACTGTTACAGCAGCAAAGGGAGAGCAAGACACTCGGAAAAGAGTAACAAGAAGAGAATCAACAAAGTGATTAACCTTATTAATTACTTACCACAGTTACAGTTTGTTACTTATAGACAATATAGATAATAGTAAAGATAAAAATGTAAACTCTATCCTTCACAAAATGAACAATATAAACATTACAAATAGAAAAGCAAAAAAAATCTGTACACTATAATTTTGCACATGAAGTATTGATAATATTGCACACGGGGATGGTGATGAATTAACAATATAAACACTGTTAACTGAAAAGCAGAAAAAATCTTTACACTAAAGGATATTTTACACATGCGCTAATTGGTGGGTATAAGCTTCTGTTACATTGTACCTACATTAGCATCGTAGCTTTAGTGTAAAACAAAAGAAGCAAACTTCAGACATCAAACACGTCCACTTATCAACAGTGACTGAATAAATAAAAAACAGGGCCCTTCTTATCAGTTACTTGATTTGCTGTATGACTGATGAGTGATTAATTCCTGTAATATTACATAAGTGTTACTTCTGAAGGTGAAGAGGACCAGGAAACAGACAGTGATCCTTACAGATTAAGAGTGGACAGATATATGGAAGTATCAATGGAAATGCACCAAGTCCTTAAAATGGAGGGAATTCTGATCAGAAGTGGCTCGTATGGCCGTATTTTATCAGTGCTCTGATGAATTGTGCATTAATATGCTTTTCCGAGCCTGTGGTGGACTTAAAGAACACTGAACTGCATGTTTTATTACTAATAATGCAACGCTGGGTTTGTAGATCAGACACACGCGGATAAAAGTGAACCCGGAAGATTTATTCAGACGGGGGTAAACAGGGTTAACACCAGACCAGGTCAATAACCAGAAGAGGCAGACAAAATACAGCAAAAGTGAAGTCAAATAAACAGGCGACGGTCGTAACCAGAGAAAGCACATATACCAAAACAACAAAGCCAAAACAGGAGCAAGAATCGAAAACAGGAAAAAACAGAAGCGAGGTCAAACACAGAACGACAATCAGAGAAACAAACGGCTTGGTGTGCGCTGACTTAGCAGGGACAACACTTCGCTAAGACAAGTTTCAGACAGACAGGTATACATACAGAGTAAAACAGGTGATGATCATTAGTATTCAGGTGACGGTGATCTGCTGGGTGGTTTGTGATTGGCTGGAAGAGTCTCGTGACTGACTGAAGGATTCTGGGAAGTGGAGTCCTTGATGGTCTGAGAGTCCCAATGAGAACCAGGAAGCGTGACAAATAAAGCATCGTTAGTTTCTATTAGTATTTCTAAATGTGGCCTTGTGGTCAGTTTTGGTCTATTTTGACTTATTAAACCTCAAAAAATAAACGAACATCGTGATTCATGTCGTGTATTGTGAAAATGTCTTGTGTCTATATTGACCATATTGACCACCCCTTACTCTAATCAGGTTTTTATCACACCTCGACAGAATGCCTGCCCTAAAAATGACCCTGAAATGTTGTGAACATGTAAAGGAATCTGTCCAGCATATCTTTAGAAGGGACACACCTTTAACTAGTAAAATGCTCCATCTGACTGATGTTCACCCTGACGTAGAACATACAGATGTCCTGATTGTAACAGGCCCAGTCATTTCTCTGAATGTATATAGTTTATAGGATATAAAGAAAGCATCAGTTTAATGTGCCTCAATAAAATGATAGATGTTTACACATGCTGTGTTTGTGTGCAGGTTGTTGGAGCTGCACTCTCCTGATGGTCAGCACACTGTGGTTCTGCGCTGTAAGGATGGACCCACTGCCCACTCCTGGTTCACCGCCATACACACCAACATCGCCGCCCTGCTGCCTCAAACACTCACTCACATCAACGCCTACCTGAGCTCAGCCAGCTCCAACACGCACACACAGCTCAAACACATCGGCTGGCTGGCAGAACAGGTACACACACACACACACACACACACACACACACACACACAGAGCGACTGCCTGGCCGGCCGAGTGATAAAAATCTTACCACAGTATTCATAGAGTGTCCAGTTTATCAGAAACACCTACAGCTGCTCAGCCATTGAAACCCATTTCATGAAGATCCTGACACACAGTTCTTGTGTTGATGTTGCCAGAGGCAGTTTGGAGCTCTGTAGTGAGCGACGCAGCAGAGGACAGCAGATTTTTACACGCTTTACTCTCACAATAATAGCACTTACAGTTGACAGGGGCAGATCTAGCAGCACCGAAATCTCACAAACTGACTTGTGAGTCAACAGAGGAGGCATCCTATGACAGAGCCAAGTTTAAAGTCACTGAGCTCTTCAGTGTGACCCTCTACTGCCAGTGTTTGTCCATGGCAGGGGTCGGTAACATACAGCTCTTTTACTGCCCTGTTGTGGCTCCACAGCAGAATCAGATTAGTAGGTAAAAATAAAATAATCCTCCTTTACAGTAAAATAAAGCTCTGCTGATCGTTCAACACAGTTTAACAATAAATGGTCTTAAACTCTGGAGTTAATGTAGAACTGCTAATTCACCCTTTAACCCTGAAGATCAGCGCAGACTGCTGGTCACCATAGCAACACAGACAACAGTCTCGCCTAGCTAGTAGCTAACGAAACGGCAAAGAGAAATGAATTTAGTTTAATTAATTTAGAGACAAGTAAACTTTTCCTGTTCCACCTTAAATGGTGACTGAGGTGCCAGAATGTAATTGCTACACCATTTAAGGTGGAACTGGAAAATTCAACCAAGAAGCTGGAGAATGAGAAGCGACTTCAGCCTCGTAAAAAGTCGAACGTTGAGAGACGTTTTACAGAAACTGTTCTACTTTTGCAGAAAGAATTCCTGCCGGAGATGCGAGAAAAGCAGCTACAGCTTAAGATTAAGCAGAGCAAAGTGAGCCTGTATTATTTTTAGCCTTTACTAGTTCATCACCACACACTGAGACACATTTACAGACAAGATGGAAAAATGGACATTAATTGTTATGGCTCCCAAGGTGGTTTGATTTTTGTTGAACGGACAAAATGGCTCTTCTTAACATTTGGGTTGTGACCCCTGATCTGTGGAGGCTGCAAGGCTGTGCTTGATTTTATACACCTGTTAGTAACAGGTGTGGCTGAAACACCTGAACTCAGTATTTAAGATGGGCATCAATGCACTGTAACACATACCAGACATACTGTGTCTGCTGAAGTTGGTGTGCAGCCACTGCAGTGCGATTCTTAGTGTGATATCATGGCACTTATTGATCATTATCAATACATTAATACTCCTCTGGACCGTTCTCAGCGCAGCAGTGACAGTGAGGCGGTAGTGATTGCGGTGCTGGTGCTGCTGGAGTATCTGCAGAGTGTTTGTTGGTACAGAGTGTGTAGTATGTTCTAAAGTGGGTATAGGAAACGGGAGGGGGGGGC